CTTTGGTCTTCCTAGTGTTGTTGTAAAGTGCTATATAAATAAACTTTGATCTGATTTGAATTAACCTTTGAACAGAATAAACAAATGATTAGTAAACTTAGAGCTCTTTCATAGTTAACCGTTTAATTGTTCTCATAATATTATTTAGCCAGATATTATTTGAAAAAGCTGTTAGAGGTAGCTGAGGTCATTGGTTATAGACTAACTCCATATGCAAAGTTTGAAACCCAGACTGCCACTATGGCTCTCTGATCAAGACCCTTACCCCCACACCGCTCCCGGGGCGCCCCACCAAGGCAGCCCACTGCTCCCCACGAGATGGGTTAAATGCAGAGTTCATTTCTCCAATGTAATCAAAAAAATTCAATTATGCAGATAATCCACATCAGTGGTACTAACAGTTTAGGTTTGGATAACTGAAATATAAATCAACAGCTTTTATTGATTTACAGAAGTATAAAAATAGTGTGATGTAAATATTTTGCAAACAACATGGTTGGGGTGTAACATTATTCTAAGCTCATGCTTACTTTTTTTTTTAATGTAAAATCTAAGAATCTAAATTTTAGTTTGCATAAAAAAAATAAGAGTAAAGATTTTAATACTTCAACAATTCATAAGGAGCACATCATTTCTTAATGAGGTTTAAAGAGACCAAATCTGAAGCACTGCTTTTGTCTAAAAGTGAGTTGTCTTTAATGTCAAAATATTATATTTAAAAATCCTTCCCTTTTGTTTTAACAAATAAAGCAAAGGTTTTTCACATATCCAGCTGTGGTTTATATAATCTTCTATTAAAGTTATCTACTTTAAATTTGGCAAGTTGAGAGTAATTAAGATTCATTTCAGATCCATGCAGTCGCCAGCTTCAGCGCCATTAGCAGCAAACAGTTTACCAATCCCTGCATTCTCACAGTGTTACTCTGTTCCTTAAATGGCTCCAAGTATGTAATTAAATACAAACTTTTGTCATTCTGGCTCCTTTATTCTCTGATTCCTTCAACACACGTTACAAAGAACTACAAAGAAATACGCCAAAAAAGGGAATATCTATCTGAAAGTAAGAAAGTAAGATACTCCATGTGGAGCTTAAAGTAAAAACAATAACTGGATGGCACTTTGCAGGACAGACTTCAATTTGTAGGCAAATGTGCTGTTATGAAAAAAGCAGATTACAGTACTTAGAGGCTCAGATGAAATTAATATAAAGGCATCAATATTCTGGTATGTTTGCTTACAAACACTTTAAGTTAACACTGAGCTCTAAGCTGACGATTCCAGCAGTTTTCTGCTTAAACCTCTCCATCATCTCTGGATCAGCATTCCTCCATGGAGGTTTACGTTAGGACAAGTCTGCTATTGTTTGCTAGTAATAAAGTTTAGAATTATACCATTTTAATACTGGACCTTATATTGGATCAGTGCAGATAGAATCAAGAAATAGAACAGACGCATCAGTTTGTTGAAAATGATAACCTTTTAGGTTTGTAACTCTTGCTGTCTTTCTCATGCGGTCTTTGAAGCCATCAACCTTCCAGTCAGTCTGTCTCAGACCGGAGGAACTCTCCATCCAGCTTGTGTTCTGTTAAATTACACTTAACCTTGAATGTCACCCTGTCCAGCTTCTTCTCTACCCCAGCAGAAACAAAAGACCACAGTAACAGGAAAAAGTATCTTCAAAGTTGTTTCTTCTTAAACAATGCTGAAGAACATTTCCATTCCCTTTTTTTGTATTTTGTTTAGTACAAACATTTATGGAACATATAAAATTCACTTTTGATACTCCACCAATCCACCAATCCAAATCTATCAAAGGGAAAAGACCTGCTGTGGACTTTACAGGGAAACTGAAGTCAAAAGAGTGGGAGGGGGGAGGAAGCTTTAATACTGGCTGCTTCAAAGGGCCTTTATTCCTCTATGAGTTGTGTTTATTCATGACCTCATGTCCTATAATGCAGTTTTTTTTTTAGTTGTTGATGAAGATAACTTTTAAAGAAAATAAAAAGCATTGTAGTGCGGGTGTAGCTTCCTGACAGTAGGGCTCATGGGATTTGGTGTGCTGGGACATGAAAGAGCCTTTAGCCAAGCAAAGTTTACAGTATATTTATAGAAAGAAACGTTTCTGTTTCTTCTTCCTGTTTTTTTTTCTTTAGGATAAAGTGTAAGATTCTCAATGCCTTCAGCAACATTAAGCATTTCTTATATTGCCTTAAAACAGTATTCATCCATTCCAGGGGTGGAAAGTAACAAATTACATTTACTCACGTTACTGTAATTGAGTACTTTTTATGAGTAATTTGTAAATTTCTGAGTAGTTTTTGAAATATGTAATTTTACTTTTACTCTAGTACATTTTAACCTAAGTAGTTTTACTTCGCTACATTTGAAACCTCCTCACTTTACTGAGTAAAAAAAAAAAGAAGAAAAAAAATACTGGTAAAAAAATTAAATGCGGCCGGAAATTTAAACCCCCTGTGTCACGGAACCAAAACTTAATGCGCGACCCTGCCTTGCAATTACCCTTTGTATTGTCTCATAATCCAGTGCTGCGCTTTGGAAGATGGCAGTTGCTAATCACGACGTAGAGAGTATGGATGAGGAAACACATTCTGGAGATGAAAGCCAGAAAAACCCTTGGCCATATCTGGATGGATTATTTATTTTCAAATGCACAAAAGGGAACAATGTGATAATGCAGTGACATGCAGTAACATATGCCTGGCCAGCAAAACTGAGCTTTCGGCTTTTAAAACATCAACATCCAATTTACGAAAACATGTGGCGGTAAGTTAGCGCAAATGTTTTTGTCTCCGACATCGCAAACAGTTTATTTATTATTTATGTATAAGGAAGCTCTTGGTTTGTTAGCAGTTGCTTAGAATTAGCTAGTTCGGAGTATCAAAAGTATGACTGAGTTGGGAATTCAAGCATTACAGGTATTGATGTTTTTTTAATGTGGCGATAAATAAAATATAATGTTATGATGGACCTGAAGTTCCTGAAGTTCCTCCTCCTCACACTCATCCGGTTCCTTCCCCCATCTCTCTCTGGTGTTCTGTGAACTTCAGGTTCAGCATTAACCTGTTGAACTCCTTCCCAAACATTAAGAATCTGTCTCTGAAACTCAGCACAGGCCTTCTAGCCTCAGCTGCCTGTGAGAGGCTTTTTAGTTCAGCCGGGTTGCTCTTCACAGCAAAGAGAGCAAAACTTACAGCAAAAAACTTTGAAAATCCGCTACTGCTAAAATTGAACAAGAGCTTTACCGGTCTAAAGTTGTTGATTTGGGGCAGTTTTGTGGGTTCCTGTGGACACTTTATTTTGAAGTTAGATCCTGTGAGCACTTTATTTTAAATTGTTGGATCCTGTGAGAATTTTGTTTTATTGTGAACAGTGGGATCCTGTGGCATTTTATTTAATAACAGTGGGATCCTGTTGCATTTTAGTTTGATTTCTGGTATCTTTTGGGCAATTTATTTTGTGTGCATTTTGAATACTTTAACTTGGACAGTAGGATTGAAAATAGTTTGCCCTTTATGGTACAGGTTGTGACTGTCCTTGTGCTGTGAGGAAGTATGTTCCTTAGCCCAGCTGATCTTTTGCAAGTGTGGATGTCCACTGAAATATGCCTTGAAATCGATTAAAACACCTTGTGCTCAATTTGATTCATGACTCATCCTTTTTTGCATTAAATAACTCAAAGTAACTAAGTAACTTTTACTCAAATTATATTTTAAACGAAGTAATTTTGTACTTTTACTTGAGTACATCTTTTAGAAGGGTAATTTTACTTTTACTCTGAGTAGAATTTAGGCAAAGTAAAGATACTTTTACTCAATTACAATTTTTTAGTACTCTTTCCACCTCTGGTCCATTCTATAATATTTTTTCTGTCCTAAATTTTTTGTTGTTGTTGTATAAAAGCAAACTTTATTATATTCATTAGGGATGCTCTGATCAGGACCGTTGCTATCTATCCTCATCCCTCATGAGAACCAATCACACGGACTGGCTGTGGATTTTTTAAATTTATTTAGGTATAAATGCTACTGCTGACTATTCAATCTGCCAAACTCATTTAAACCTGCTAACAGGTTTTATTTAAAAGATTAAAAAACACTTTATATTTTACCACAGAAGGTGCGATCTGACACTGATGCTCCTTAAGCTCAAAGTTCCCCTTTAAGTTCTTTGGAAGTTTTTTTTTGGCCTTTTGCTACCATCCTTTTTGATCTGTTATTAGTTTTCCTCCTGCGGCCAAATCCAGGGCGGTTGGCTACAGTCCCATGGATCTTAGATTTTTTTTAAAATAAAATTGTAGTCAAAGAAACATCAAGCTGCTTGGACATGGTCTTTGAGATTTTATCTTTAACAGTTTTTCTATAATTTTCTTTCTTTCTTTCTTTCTGTGCTCATTGGTCAGAGCGTTGGCCAATAGGCACAGACATGGTTTGAAAGACAACAGGTTGTTCTCATCAACAATTTTCCGATGTCTCATTCATTGGGGCCAGACTAAATTCCACATTTAATCTCATATTTAGTCCGGTTAATCAGGCTAAATCTATGAGATAATTTTTGTATTAAACATCCTGGTTAAAAACCGGTCTGCCGCGCGCTCAACTCTGATAACGTGCTCTCCACTTCTTCTCTGCACACAAAACTTCATCTCTGTTCTCGCTCGGCTCCACAGGATTAAGTGATGTAATTTCGTTTACAGCGGCATTAGATGCTTCTTCACTGGGCTCATCCGCTGTCCTCTTTGTTTACGCTTCCTGTTGGATCGGTGGAGTCACGTGATTCGACACACCTGCTGCAGTGTCTTAAAGGGGAAGGAAATACAGGCCACCAGCGCCCACAGCAAAACAGCAGAATTAAGCTGATTTATTTTACCGACATGGGAAAACTGTCACCAGTTATCGTAGTGAGGGTAGAGGTTAAAATCCGGTTCTTGCAATTCTGTTTCTACTGCTTTTAAAACTTTATTTCCGTACGCTCCCTCTTACCTGGAATATTATGGATGGTGATCGCCAAGATGAGGAGGAGAATTCTTCGCCAGCTGTTGCCTGTTTGACCAACTCCTTCTGGTGTTTTAGTTCCTGATTCTTGCCCATCGGAGTGACCCAAATTGGTGCCTCGTCTTCTTTGGTACACATCTCCATTATCAATTTTGTCTATATTGAAAAAAAAAAAAACATTAAAAAAAAAAATTAAATACAAACATTACACATTGCCTCCAGAAACAGGAGATTACCTGACAATAGCCCAGACTATACTACTGGTTGTTGAACAAATGCATCTAAAACTTAACTTTCTCAACTTTCCATCCCACCAACAAGTCAACCTGAGGGCATCTGATACTCTGTAAATCAAGCAGACAAGAGCGTAGCAGAACTGGGTCTAAAATTCTGCTACTCTGCAAGTATGACAGGGCTTTTCAAAACTGTAAAGCCATCCTGTGTGTGAAGTGTTCCAAAATAAAGGGCAGAAAAACCCTAAGGGGCTCCAGCCTCCTTCAAATTAATGCATTCAGTTTATCCCCAGTAGGAGTGCTTGTCGGCTGGTGGAACAATCCCTGAAAGCTGCAAACTGCCAGTGTTGGTGGCAGCTGGCAGATGTTGTTGGCATTACATGTCTATTAGGCTGGAGAGTAGAAAATCAAATTAGCAGGCCCACTTCACGCAGTGATTGGGCAGCTGTGTGGGAAGTCAAAGGGGTTTCATCTTCTCTCTCACGTAAACTATTTTTCAGTTTTTCAACTACAGAAAAAGCTTCTGATTGACAAACAGGAAGAGGACAAGAATATTTACATAATCAAGTTCAAGGTTAGAAAAGAATCCCATTGAGGTCTTCACAGAGCTGTTAAGGTTTTATCACTAATATGGTTGGATCAAGGGCAAATATTACCATTTAATGAGTAAAAGCTGCCTTTCAGTGCTAATTGGAGTGCCTGATAAATCCATAAAGCCCCCGTATGACAGTGAAGGGAGTTACAGTTACAGACATCCAAATAGGCTTTACATACATTTAGCAGATATGCACTGGCCTCTGCAATTACAGGAAGCCCTAGTGGATTGAAAATAAATTATCGTCTTATGGCTGTAGCATAATAATGCTCTAAAACATGTTAAATTGGTAACATCAAACAGACAGTTGAAGGTCCAGAAGACCTTAGAAACTCTACATGTTTGTAGTGAAAGGATATAAAAGGCTTGTGCTGGAATTTCATCCAAACAACCAGTTGCATTTGTAGGTGCACATAATTAAAAAGTCTTTCAGATTGTGTACGATAGTTTCACTTAACTCTGAAGGTGTTACCTTTATTTATTTATTTTTTTTATCTTATTTTGCTACAGCAGCTAAGAGCTCCAATGAAGCTCCAATTTATTCTGAACATACAAATTTATACTGCAGTTTGTCCCGTGTGTCAATGAGGGAGTTTTCTTTCAATTCATTGCTTTAATATTCAACTTATTTTCCGTGTGTTCAGATTTGTTTGAATAAAAACTTGCTGTAGCAAGAGCCCCCATCAAAAAGAAGCCACCACATGAATTACTGCAAATAACCCCCCTGTGGCATAGAAGATAGTCTGACCCTACCTTTGAATGAAGCCATTTAAAAGTGGTATTAACTGCCTGGCTTTCTAAAAGACAAGCCGTGATTTTTTCTGCTAAGTTCTCAACATTACATTGACTCAGTGGGAGACATGTGAGTCAACTTTAATGGCTATCTCTATTGAGTCACAATAAAAGGATAATTTCAATGGAATCAACTGCTGAAAAAAAGACATTCATTTGGGTGCTGTTTGTCTTCATTCAGAATATGTAATCAGCTTAGCAAATTTTTTTTAAATACGTATTTCAAAGAGATCCTTGATTAAGGAAAAACGAATGTGGTGAAGTGCTTATTAAAGATATTAAACTCTAGAACAATCAGACTTGCTCAAGTGGACGCATCACTGACAAAACCTTTAAATGTGCAAATTCTGACACATGACTTCTATTCAGATTTCAACATGGATAAGTCATCTTAGGACATACAGGCTGAAACAAGATGAACCTTTTCAGCAGGAAAACAGAAAGTCCGACACATGCCATTTCATAAAAGAACCATCCTAACATGAACTAAAATTAGATTATATCTAATTTTACAAATAAGTAAATAAAATCTTTTGGACACTTAACAGCGGAAAAAAGGATGGAGTGAGAAAGTTTGCAACAAAGATAATTAATGTGAAAACACTGGTGAGTTGTGGGCATTTCAACCTACCTAGGGAGGACAAATTCATAGGCTCCCATCAAACACAGGCTTTTAATCATTGGATTGTAAAACTATCAAATCCTGGAGGGCAAAAAAAACACTGCTGAGATATTAGAACCGGTGTTGTTTTCGTCAACGGTGGTGATGAGGACATTTTTTTGTTAATATTCCTTTTTTCATGACGATAACAAAAACTGACAAGCTAAACATGGATCTTTGATGCCTAAGACATGACTAGTCATAGGTTTGAGTTTTCGTCAATGAGACGAGACTAAACTAAAATTAGCTGGTCGTCGGTCAGACGTTTAAAATGCATCATCATGCTGTAATCTGCTAAGCAGTATCAGTCGTGCTGGATCTGCCGCCCACCTGGTGTGCAGCGCTGCACATTCTGCATGACCACAGATAGATCATGGCAGCAGCGGCAGAGTCTGAGAAAATAACCCGTATTCGTCCAGTACTGTGCGCTCAACACTAAAAGATTTTGCTCTTCTAGCTGTGCTTGTGCAGAAATGTGTCTTTGTGTTCGTGTAGGTCTGCGTGTAGTCTGTGCTTCACGCTCCACACTGATGGTTCGCTCTCAGCAGTATGGATCTTCCTGCTCTCGCTACTTAATAAACTACATGTGGCTGATCATCCTCTGCCATATAAGCATAAAAAATCCCTTTTCTAACAATCAAGATTTTATTTCTTCCAGCTTGCAAGAAGTGATACTAAACATTCTTTAACTTCTACCAAAAGGAATCCCTAAATGATATCCAAAGAAAATATTTCATTGCACACTTTTTATTTTTGAATAAAAACCCAGATGAAAAGGTACATAGATCTTTGAATATTTCTCTCTCATACCATCTATTAAATATGATGTAATTTTTTCTTTCTGTTGTCATTAAAACATTTTTTATGTTTCCTTTGAATTTGTCAATATTTTAGTTAGCATATTCATTCAATTTAGGTCTGGATTGTCATGGCATAACAAGGTAATTATGTAGGTTCTATCTGTATGTTTTTATATCAAAACCCTGTGAATTAAAATCTACTTTGACCCCTGAGCAGTAGGAAATTCTCAGAAATAAAGCCAAAATTGCTGAAGTAGAAAGAAGAATGTTTTTCTTCTTTGCTTTTTTGGAGAAATTAAGATTTTATTGATTCATAGTAGATCAGAAAGCATTTGTTTTTTAATTGAAACTTTTTATGTCTAAAACCATTCCTTTGTTGTGCATTTTGTTAGCTTGTCTGTCTGCTATTTTAACCAATATGGTGTGTTGAACTAGAGCTACTACTTTCACAACTTTTGTGAGACACTTTTGTATGAAGTATTAAATTAATTCATAAAAAACTTTATTTGAATTCTATAAATCAAAGTTTTCTGCCCAACTGCAATGATGAACTGCACAGCAGCATTCTATACCCAGCTATTGTAGGGCTGTATCTGGGCAAGAGCTGTTAGTGTGATACATAATCTGGTTGCTATTTGAAATGTGAAGGTTTACTTTTTTTGCAACATAAAACTAAATAAAACTAGACTTAATCCTTTTTAAGTTCTAGTCGACTAAAACCGAAAAAAAAAAAAAAGATTAAGACTAAATCTAAGATGGCTATCAAAAACAACAGGGACACAACATGGTACATGGCACAACTGCTAGAGTAAACAGTCTGATCACTGAGCAAACCATGGGTTGGTTGTGAGCAGAAATTTAAATCAAAATGAAAACGATGTCTTTAGCATTTTCTATAATATCTGTGTCCTACAAGCTATAAGAAAGGTGGTTTAAAAGGGGCGTGAAGGAAGCCATCTATGTTAAGAGAGAAAAAACAACTTTAAACAGAGGTGGTGGACAACTCAGTTATAGAGATGATCCCTTTCAGGTATCACCACAACCCCCACCGCATCACAGAGGAACAAAGCACCTCCTCTCTTCAGCCAGGTGCACAATCCCTCCTTTAACGAACGACCATTCACAATCATAGAGAGGTTTCAGATATTACAGGCTAACAATGGAACCAAACGACCCACTCGTCGGTTTCAATTTACATGTTTCTAAGCAATACAAGGCCTTGTCCATATAAGACTCAAACTCACTGCAGATCCAGACATTTGAATTGAAAAAGCTTCCTGGAATAGAAGCGAAACGTCTTCAAACCTTGGAAACCAAGTCCAGTGGATTGTTTTTAAATTTTTAAGGAATGACTATGACCTGGATGACTGAGAATCTTCATCAGCCTACAAGCTATAATTGAGTAAAAAGTAAAAAACACAAAAATCCAGGTCTGTTTGCCCTTTTGGGGGCTCTGTAATAAAGAGAGAACCTTAAAATAATGAGTCTTTTAATCACCTGACTTTATATCAAAATATGAAGAGTTGTTGTCAGACGCTGGACTAAAACAATTAAGGAGAAAGACGTTGAGAAGGACGTTTAGAAAACAATTTAAATATAAATAAGGACGAGATGGAAATACTGGTCCTAATCTGATTCACAAGTATTTCATCAAATATGAATGTTAAGATGCAAAACAGACGAGCTGCATTTCTCACACTCAGGCAAAGAGAATACAAATAGAGACAAATACAGATACTGGCTCCTAATCTGAATTACAATAACGGTTAGCAGCTTCCACATAATCTAATTTGGACAAAGCCCTTCTTGAGAATTACACAAAGGAAAACAAAATACTAATACTGGAAAGAAAAAAAAAAAACACATCATAGAAATAACTGGCTACATCCATTGTGAGTGTCATTATTAATGTCTTATCACATTTTCATGATGGAGTTTATTTGACTCCTTCCAAATGAGATTACTCTATTATGTGAAAGCAAAAGACATGAAGAGAGTTATTTACTCAATGGTTCCTCTGCTGCTCTCAATCTCACCATACATTTCACTAACACATTACCTTCATTTGTTATTTT